TATGGAACTTTACCTCTAATTTTATGTAGTAATAACAAGTTTAATCCTTCTTGATTTTGACTTCTGAAAGCCTAGTTCCCCAAGTGTTGCACCTCTAATGGAGTCACAAACACCCAATGTAAGGAGGATGACTTAGGAGAGAAGGATTTCGGATAGGGTTTCTTTCTTGAGTGCTTAGGCCGAAAATACCTTAGTATGGGGTTCTATATATAGTTGTGGCTGCTAGGGTTTTCAGGTGGAAACCCTAATACCTAACTTAGGCAACAAGCAGCCCATGAACTCCTTCCTTAGAGCCCATGTACGAAATCTATAGGGCTTCCCTATACGATTTCGTCCACTCCACTCTATGGAGTCCATCAGCCCATTTATGCAACTATCAATGATTTGCATAACAGTCCCTCAATTATTTAATCAGTCTCTTTTGACCACTAAATTAATTCCAAATTAATTTTTGATTAATACTAATTAAATAATATGATTTCCAAATAATATATTAATCTTGTAATATATTAGTAAAACCATTTTGAGTACCAATTTATTATTCACATAATAAATTCTACTCTCTCTCCTCTTGTCATCCTATCAAGTTGCATGAGTGAAGGCAACCCAAAAGGACCATGCTCATAATCAAATCAAGTACATACCAAAAATAGTTATGGGCTTAGACACCTAATCCAACAAGTCCACCATTAAGCATAGACCAAAGAAGACCTTATCCCCATTCCTATGGGTGGGATCAACATGGTGGTTGGTATAGATTGGTTGAGCTAGTTTGGGGCTCTGATTAACTATAGGCGATAACATGTGATAGTTCGAACCCCGAGTGGGGGAGATTTGACTATTTAGGGCAAGGTTGCGAGGAGCAGGTCTACTTTTTGTTCGACTGCGAGGGTCATGAGGTATTTGCAGTATGGTTATGTGGGAGTTTTGGCTTATGTAGTTAACACGCCAGAAGAGAAGAAGATGACGACCGTCGAGGTACCCGTGGTTAAGGAGTTTCTCGAGGATTTGTCGGGCATTCCTCCTGAGAGTTAGGTTGAGTTTAGGATTGATCTTGTTTCCAGTGCGTCTTTTATATCCAAGGCACCGTACAGGCTTGCACATTTAGAGATGCAAGATTTGTCCACACATCTTCAAGAGCTATTGGACAAGGGATTTATTCGGCCGAGTATTTCATTGTGGGGTGCGTCAATTCTGTTTGTGAAGATGAAGGATGAGACACACAAGACGTGCATTGGATATAGAGAACTTAACAAGCTCATGTTGAAGAACAGATACCCATTACCGAGGATTGATGATTTGTTCGATCAGCTGCAGGGAGCATTGCGGTTCTCCAAGATTGATCTTCATTCGGGTTATCATCATATGAGAGTGAGAGAGGAGAATATGTAGAAGAATACCTTTATGATGAGATATGGCCATTACAAGTTCGTAGTGATGCTGTGGGCTTACTAATGCACCGGCAACGTTTATGGATTTGATGAATCGTGTTTGTAGGCCTATATTGGATCGGCCTGTCATTGTGTTTTATCGATGATATATTTGGTATACTCGAAGACGAGAGATCAACATGTGAATCATTTACGTGAGGTATTATAGGTTTCGAGGAAATAGAGGCTCTTTGCTAAGTTCTCCAAGTGTGATTTTTGGTTGCAATTAAGTGGTTCAATTTTTGGGGCACCTTGTCAGCCGGGATGGTATTATGGCCGATCCAGCCAAAGTTGGGCAGTGATGTAGTGGGAGGTCCCCAAAGACCCCCTATGAGATTTAGAGTTTTCTTGGGTTGTTCGAGTATTATCGGATATTTATTCAAGATTTATCCAAGATTGTGGTGCCATTGAATCGATTATAACTAAGAAGAATGTCACTTTTTATTTGGGGGTGATGAACAACAATAATCTTTTGAGACTTTGACTCGGAGATTGTGTGAGGCTCTGATATTGACTTTGCTAGAGGGGATTGAGGATATGGTTGTGTATTACGATGCATCCATTCGGGGATTGGGTATAATGTTGATGCAGTGTGACGGAGCGATCACATACACATCGTGACAGTAAAAGCCTTACAAAGCTAATTATCTGACACATGATTTTGGATGAATCAACACTATATATTGAATTATTGTTGCTCCTTATGATTATACAAGTTTCCTAAATGTTATGAAAGAGGTTTATTTTAACATAAAGAACATATTATATAAACAAAATTTGGAACTATTTAAAAAAAACAAGTCAAAGTCATCTCAATGGAACATATAACATATAATAACGCACTTTTCCATATAAGGTAAATGAAAAAAAAATCCATTTAATGAATAGGAAGTATTGGTGATATGAAAACAATACTAGAAGAGGTTGATTTTAATGTAAGATTTAAGACTCTCAAAAGAAAATGATTGTATATTTCCCCTTTGGCTTAAAATGTAGATGTTTGTTATTTGGATTTATCCTTAAACCAAACCAAATAAACCAAAAAATCGATTAAATCGAATCTTATTGGTTTGATCCCGTTTAATATTTTGGAAATCAAAAAACCCATTAAACCGAACCGAACAAACTGATAGTCGATTAAACCAAATGAATAACACCTTAGAATATACCCACATATTCTTATATTTTGGTGATTTTAGTGTCATCAATCTATTTAGTATGGTCAGAATTAATTCGAGACAAAATGAGTTAAGCTTTAGCTACAATATGAGTTTCGAGGTGCGAAATGCACACTCAAGTAAGCCAAATTGAGCTCGAGAACACAGGGGCCGGGTCAGCACCAATGGTGAGGTTCCAATGATAACACCAATGATGGGGTTAAATGAACTGCCCTTGTGTGACGGCCAAAAACAGTAATAAAAATTTTCATTTAAAAGTCATTCATTAATTGTTCAAAACCATATTAAATCATAGTATTAAAACATTAGAGTACAAATTATTTCAAATGCGGAAACCATAAGGGGAGAATGTTGTGCCATCACGTCGGGCCCTTCCTTTTGGAACTGGATTTACTTGAAACCATAAACATAAACTGTCAGCATAAAGCTTAGTGAGTTCCCTAAAATACCACATACACAAACATACAAGTGTCATGGGCTACCCCATGGTCTTTCCTTGCAATGCCGATGGCCAAATCCCGGTCTTACATGCGAGTGCCATGGGCTACCCCCATGGTATTTCCTTACAACACTGAGGGCTAAATCCCAGTCTTACATACAAGTGTCATGGGCTACCCCCATGGTTTCTCCTTGCAATGTCGAGGGCCAATCCCGGTCTTACATACAAGTTCCAGGGGACAGATCTTGGTCTTTCATGCAATTATCACAAGACAACTAACATTCCACATAACAAGCAAATGGGCCAGCATTGGTGCCTTCGACCCTGCTGGATTGGAAAAATCCTCATGCTAACTAAACAAACAAAGTCCCAATTAATAATTGGGACATAACCCATAACTGAGAATCTACATTACTTGCCTAGTGTCCAAAGTGAAAAGGGCCAATTAATCTTATTTCTTTTAAGCCCAATAAAATATCCTAGGCCCAACCCAAAGATCATCTAAAGACCAAAATGGGCCCAAAATCAGAAGTGGCCAATTTCCATAAAAATCTATGGTCCAAGCCCAACAAGCAAAGCCCAATGATAAAGGCCCAAAATCATCGAATCTTGACTGAGCCATACGCTCGGTGTACCAACTGGTACACACAACGTACTCGACAGAAGTGGGAAAATCGTGACGGGGGTGCAGTACGCGCGACGTACTGGGAATTACGTCCAACGTAAGCATCCCTAAGGCAAAACTCATGCTAAGGTCTTAATGCCTTAAGACCCTATGACCAAAACTCAGATCTGAACTTACTAAGACCCCTAAGGCCATAAAGTTGCAAACTTTATGCCTTTGCATGGCTACAAGAAGCCTAACACTAAAAACCTAGCTTACTTAACCCTTTTCTACACACTGACTCTTGCATGGGGACAAATCAAGGTCCAAGCTTGCATTTTTATGACTTAAAATGCCTTAAAACGTCTGAAAGGACACCTTAGAGGCTTTGGAGTACCTCTTACTCACCAAGATTTAGGCTTTGGGACAAAAAGGAAGAAAATCAAGGCTTAACTAAGATCTAAAGAAACATAAGCCAAGTTTGGAGCTTTATACCTCCAAATGGTGCATAATGAAGAGAAGATGTTGGATCAAAAGTCTTGAGAGCAAAGCATACTCCTTGAAGGTCCTTCTTCACAAACAAGGAAGCACACAAATCACTCCAAAATCTCAAAATGCTCAAAATGAACTAGGATTTGCAAGGAGGGTCAATTTTGGGATGGAGGTTGATAAAGGGGAAAGGTCTTGGGGCTATAATGGTGCTTAAATAGTACACAAACCCTAAATATTAGAGTTTTGGTCTGAACCACATACGCCCGACGTACATAAGTACGCGCAACGTACTGGCGCGGGGCTTAGTACGCTCAGCGTACTCAAGCTGCACCAAAAGGTTATAACTTGCCTTTAGGGACCCAATTTGCAAACATTTCATAACTCAAAGGGTTTAAACGCAAATACCTGAGAAAAAGTAGATGTTACACCTTGCAAAGGATATGTGGCAAATGCCCCATCCTTAAACCGAATCTATATATTACATATATAGCCGGTAGTTAGTTTCCTACAAGGACCAACCGTCACAACTGTTAGGAACAACTGCGACTTTTCCATGTAAAAATAACCGAACATTTACTTCCTTCCTTCATTCTTCTTCTCTCTCTCTATATAAAGATGTTCAGTTCTACAAGGAAGAGATACACACGAAAAGTGCACTGTCACTAGCCTAATTATTGTCTAAAAAAACACAAAATAAAGCAAAAATATTCTATATTTTAGCAATCTTGAATTTGCTTGTAATCAAGATTAATTCCAAGTCTGAATTCTTGAAACCATAAACAATGGAGTTAAATTACAAAATTTGAAAAATATTTTTATCACGGTCCTAGTTGTATTGATATTCAAAAATATGGCCTATGATGGTGTCCAATGTCACTGAAATAACGTTTTGGGCTATAGATGGGCCATCAGTACTTACAGGCTCCAGCACCAGCAACATGTTAGTTGTTATATAGGGCGTGTTCGACAAATTAGCTGGTAGCGGATAACTTGTAGCGGGTAGCGTTTTGTTAAACGCTACATGAAGTAGTATTTGGATTTAGAGCGTTTTGTTTAAACTAAACGCTAGAAGCTTGTAGTGCCGAACGAGACTTTCTGTTCAAAACAGAGCGTTTTGTCAAACGCTAGAAGCTAGAAGGTCTCAAACGCTCCGTGCCGAACAATCCATAATATTATTATGTAAAAAACACTACTTTGATATCGATTGTTTATAACGATTAAAATACTCATATAATTAATACTTTACAATATAATATAATATAATATTAATAAAAGTAATAATAAAATATAGAAGGAAGTCTTTACATGCCATAGAGGGGGGAATAATTCACCCCCGTACGTTGACACCCTCCGCCAAACCACCCCAGTTCAGCACTTCATCCACAGTGAACAACAATAACCCTAAATTGTTAGCGCTTTAACGTTTTCTCATTCTACACGCGATTCCAGTAATGAATCAAGAATCATGAATTGAGTGTGAAAGTGAAGAAGCATATAAGGGAATCGATCTAGCGAAGAAGACGTATCAACCACATTGCAAAAGGTTTTCTAGTTCTTCATTACTGTATTAGTTTTTTGTCGTTTATGAGAAATTTACATTACCCCGCAAAACCGTACGCAGTATGCATGCTTCCAAAAGTAGGGGATTAATGAATCTACGGATTTGATTATTACTTTATTCTGTCCACATTTGGTTTCCCTTAAAAATCTTTGTAGACTGATTTTTCAGGTTTAGTTCAACTGGAGCCTAGTTGATTCTGGTTGGATTTCTAATTTCTGACGGCCGATTTCTTTTGAATATTAAGTTAATGGACTTGAATCACTTAGCTAGGGTACATTCTGTATCTATAAATTCATCGGAATTTTGATTAAGATTCGAGTTTGAATCTTATTTAATCTGTTTTTTGGCACCTACAAAGGCTTATTCGTGAATCCAAAGATCTTAAACTGCCTAGTATATTTCTTTTCTTTAGGGCTTGAATCATGACTATGATGATCTTCAACTAGCAAGGATCATTCTTCATCCTATGATTTCTTCATATTCATTTTCTGGACAGCTTCTGAAAAATCGGATCAGATTAGAAGGGATTCTAGCAATGAATCCCAAACACAAGGGAATGATACATGAATTCGTTGGCTCAAAGTCTCCAACTCATCACACATCAAGGGGCTACTGCTCTGATCAAACCTCTTATTCTCAATCTATCGTTTTCAAATGTGCTATCTATACTATCTATCCACCTATGCTGGTTCATACTTACATAGTTCACAATCATCACAAAATTTCGTCATATATTTCGTTATAAGAATAAAGTTATGCATCATTGATAGGCAAGATAAGCCTTTACTATCTACAAGTTGTTGTGGGTAAATGAATAGGCTTTTTTGCAATAAAAGAGTAGGTGTTTAGCCATTCAAACTTATATTTGATTTATGCTCGAGCTATACATGGATGGAGAAAGAAGAATCATATAGTTAACAAGTATTACATGCTACAAAATCTTAGTTCAGTTATTTTCTTTGTTGGTGTAATTCTTAGTAAGGTTTTGTTTTTTTATACATGCAAGAATGTGTAGATGCTAACCATTTATTATTTGCAGAAGACACATCTAGGTTTTCTCAAAATCTAACTATGGGTTCTGTGAACTTTAATGATGAAACACGGTCTGTAATTAGTGATGTTGGAGATATTGGCAATGTAGACTTTGCAAATGATGGATCTTTCTATAATTACGACCAAGGAACCGAGGGTCCAATCATCATCTCTGCTCCATTTCCTTTAGTGGAAGGAAAGCCTCAATTTGTAGCTGTAAATGAAAGGATCTTCAATCCAGTCACTATCAGGAACACAACCACCGAAGCAGTAACTCTATGGTCAGTTGAGATATACGACTCTAAGCCAAAAGACTGTTTTACCCTCTCGGTGATGGAACCCCCCTCACCCGATTCAGATGACCAATCGTTTGTAGAGTCATTTTCATTGGAAGATAGGACTTTGCTACCTGGCAAAACTTTGACCATTTGGCTATCATGTAAACCAGTGAGCAAAGGTCTGCACACAACTGCTGTTCACTTCAATGTGGATGATGATAGGATCGAAAGGATGGGTTTTATAATGGCTGAAGATAAGATCTCGCGTTCATTAACTTCCAACAAGCCGTATAATAGACCAAGGAGAAATAAGCCATTACTTCCCAAATTATATACCCCTGGAGGAGATAATGCAGGGGTTAAAGTTATTAGGACCTCTCGTCCTGCTAAGGCTACTGGCCGATCTTACAGATATAAGCTTTCTGAATATGTGATTCCTAAGAATATTAGGGATATGATTGAAAGTAAAACCACTCCTGATGCGTTAATGGAAGGTTTATCCAGAAAAAATTATGTTGCCTTCTTTAAAACGCTGATTATTATGGAGGAAATGAAATTGGAGGTAACATCCCACAACTTTTTTATTTATTTTTTCATTACTGAATTGGCTTAACAGGGATAGGTTTTGAATTGATGAGGTAAATCTCATTACTCTGTCTTTATTTCTTAACGATTCATTCTGCTTCAAGTCAAAAAAGAAACACACGTATTAACATATATATAGCTTACCTGTTCTTATTAAGTCCATTAACTCAAAAAGAAAGAGCAAAGCACCTAAGAAGTATATGATGTTTTATTATTAGCTCTAAAATGGTTGAGTTGTTTTTTTTTTTTTTTTTAATTTCAGGATGACATGAGAATGTATGACATGCAAAATGTGACTCTGAGAAGAAAATACAGGTTCCTTGCTTTAGAAGTCCCGGGTCTTGCTGAGAGAAGACCATCGCTTGTTCAGGGAGATTTCATTATTGCAAAGCCTTCATCCCAAAATGAAGACAATGCATTTCCTCTGTATAGGGTTCGTTTCACCTCATAAAACTAAATTTCACTTTATATTATTTCTAAAAATACATATATTCTATGACTGACTTCATAGGTTTAAATGAACTTTCAATTTGTTTGTTTATTATAGCATTCTACTTTCATTTATTCCTATCACACCATTGTACTTTTAAAAAGTTATCAATTATTTTATAGCAATGTAATCCAAATACAAAACAATTTTCTTTGCTATGATTGTTTAGATTTATTTTCAAAGTATAATGTCCTAATAGGAAAAAATTGGGAGTACATTGCTATAACTGGATACATTTATCAAAGTAACTACAACAGTTTAAATAATAAAGTGATTGAAAGTACAATGCTGTAACAGAAGTAAATAAAAGTAGGATCTTATAATATGCATGTATTATATCTATATGGTCAAAAGATGAAACCTCAGATAAACTATATATCTAAAAAAATAAATCTCTGCATTATCTCAAAAAAATACATGTTCTAGGACTCCTAGGGTTTAATGCAAGAAATAGCAATATACTTTCATTAATCTGTTTATTATAGCATTCTACTTTCGTTTCTTCCAGTTATAACGTTGTGCGTTGAAAATATTACCAATTAATCGAAATTCAAAGCAATTTTCAGTGCTATAATGGGATAAAATTCTTCAATGGGTCGATTAGAAAAATATACTAAAAGTACAATGCTGTAATAGAAACAAATACAAGTAGGGACGAATTTGGTTAAATGAAAGAAATAGCAACATACATTCATTTATAACATTCTATATTTATTTCTTCCTATTACAACAGAGTAGTTGAAAAGTTTACCAATTATAGCAATGCAACGTAATCCAAATACACAGCAGTTTTTCAATGTACAATGCCTTCATTTGAATACAAATGAAAGTAGGATACTATAATAAATACACAAAAAAAAAAGTGTGTTGGTAGCTGTTGTTTTTTATTTAGCATATTAGTATAAATGTATAATCTTTACAACAGGGGCACATCTTACGTGTGGAGGCAGAAGAAGTTCACCTATCGTTTCACGACGATCTCCACTCTTACCATTCGGAAGGTGACCGTTACGACGTACAATTCGAATACAACAGATTAGGCATGCGAAGATTATACCAAGCCATAGAAGCCGCTGGAAAGCTTGATTCCGACCTTCTCTTTCCGGAGTTTGCCTCGAATCAAAGATCCATAGAAACCCGCCGATTAACTCCAATATCATGTAGCCTCAACGAAGAACAAACAAGATCAGTTGAAATGATCATCGGTTGCCGTGGCGGCCCCCCCTATATCATCCACGGGCCCCCCGGAACCGGCAAATCCGTCACTCTAACCGAAGCCATTCTTCAGCTTTACAAAAACCGAAGAAACACACAGATTCTTGTTTGTGCTCCTTCCAATAACGCTGCGGATCATATATTAGATCGCATAGTTAAAGAAAATGGAGTTGAGATTCGAAAAGGCGATCTACTTCGGCTTAATGCACAAGCTCGGTCATTAGATGATATCAAACCCGATTATCTCCAGTTTTGCTCTTATGATGATGAAGAGATGATCTTCAGTTGTCCGACATTCGAAAATCTTGTGAGATATCGGATTATAATATCCACTTACACAAGCGCGTCTCTTCTTTACGCGGAAGGTCTCCAAATGGGCCATTTCTCGCACATCTTTTTGGACGAGGCGGCCCAAGCATCCGAGCCGGAATCCATGATTCCGATTTCACATTTTTACAAACGGGACACCGTAATTGTTCTTGCCGGGGACCCGGTGCAGCTGGGGCCTGTGATTTTTTCTAAAGATGCTGAAAATTACGGGTTAGGGAGATCGTATATGGAGAGGCTCTGTGAATCGAAGTTTTACAAGAATGGCAATCAGAATTACGTGACGAAGCTGGTCCGGAATTACCGATGCCACCTGGAGATTCTATCGCTTCCTTCGGAATTGTTTTATCAGTCGGAGTTAATCTCGTGTAAAGAAGCGGATACTTTGTACCCTTTGAGTTGGAAGGATTTTCTCCCGAAACCGGAATTCCCAGTGGTTTTTAAGGGTGTTCAAGGGGTTGATGAGCGGGAAGGGAATAACCCATCTTGGTTTAATCGGATTGAGGCTAGTGAGGTAGTTGAGGTTATAATGGATTTGATTGAGAGGGGGGTGAGGGGACATGATATTGGGGTTATAACACCGTATAGACAACAAGTGATTAAGATAAGTAAGGCACTTGAAACTTTTGTGGGGTCCGAGATTAAGGTTGGGACAGTCGAGTCGTTTCAAGGGCAGGAACGTGAAATTATCATTATTTCTACTGTTCGATCCACTATCAAACACAATGAGACCGATAAGAGACATTGTTTGGGGTTTTTAAGTAATCCCAGAAGGTTTAATGTTGCCATTACTAGAGCAAGATCCTTGTTGATTGCTATTGGGAATCCACATATAATCTGCAAGGTAATCTTCTATCCCTAAGTTTATGTGTGTAATTCAGCATTCTCTTCTTATTACAGCATTCTACTTTCAAATTAATCTTACTATACCATTCATTGTAATCTACTACTTTTTAAAACAGCTACTACATTGCTATTTTGCTATCATGTGTAAAATTTTCAAACTACAATGCCATAATAGCCAATTAACATGAATATACATAAGATGCTGTAATAAAGAAGAAAAGAAAATAAAGGTACAATGTTAGTATACTTTCATTAGAGCGTCAAACTTTCAAATGGCATTTTACTTTGAATAAACTACCTACCCATTATAATTATAGCTGAAAGTAGAAGAAGTAATTTGAAGGTACAATGTTGTAATAAGAATAAAGGAAAGTACAATGCTTCAATCATTATACATTGTTATTTCTTTACATTTGAATTTTAAGATGGGTTAAGAATGCAACATACTTTCATTTATTTTGTGTATTGTAGCATCCTACTTTCCATTCTTTCTAGTACAACATTGTACTTTATTTTTTTTTTCTCATTAAGGCATTGCACTTTGAAAAATCCATCCAAGTATATCTCTGTATTTTCAATTGTTTACTTTGAAAAAACTAGCCAAATATGCAGAGCTGTATTTGGAATTGGTAGAAATGGTTTCTTGCGTTTAACACTTGTGAGATTAAAAATTCTTTGAATTCACAGTGAAGCTTATACCAGATGAAAAACAAGTTTGTAGTTTGAAGTTTTTGCTTATCAAGGCAACCATTGTAGTTTGATATATTGAAAAATCAAGCTGATCATAATTGGGTAGATTTTTGGGAAGTAGGATGCTGGGTTGCAATTCCAAAAAGCTTATTCTATAATATTGATTTATTGTGGGTGATGAAATTGAATAATAATGATTAATGAAAATAAAAATGGCATGGCAGGATGAACATTGGAATAAGCTCCTATGGCATTGTGCTGATAACGATTCTTATAAAGGCTGCTTTCTTCCTGAAAAGGAAGATAACGTCGTTGATCTGGGAAGTGAAACACAGCAAGACAACAACACTAGTTACAATTGGGATGGGGATGGTGGAGACCAAACAAATTTCAATGGCGGAGATGATAATTGGGGAGAATACCATCCTCAGCCACCTGCTGGAGATAATAATTGGGAAGACTACTCGACTCGGATTCCCGATGGTTGGGGTGGAGCTGATAACTGGGGGGATGGAGTGCCAGGAGCTGATAATTGGGGTGAAAACCCTACCTGGGGGGAACACCAACACCCTGCTGCTGTTGCTGATAATTGGGGTCAAGACTCCCCTGAGATTGCTGCCGAAGCTGATAATTGGGGGGAAGGCTCGCCTCTCCCTGTCCCTGGTAATTGTGGAAAGGTTTAGAAAGTATGTGCTGTGAATTTGAGTCTGGTCATGAGTTTAGTGGTTGTTGCTTTGTTTTGTTTTTAAATCAGTTAATGAATTTTTGAGACCCAATTGTTAATAATAGGGGTTTCACATCGCATCGCATCGTCTTTTATTTATTACATATTGTATGCTTTAGGTTTAACATTTGAATTCCAAGGACACGATTCGTTTGGTTCCTAGAATATTTACAAGGAACTTAAATCAGTGAAGGAATTAAAATCTCTTACATGTTTTGTTTGGTTTGGTTACATGTAATGCTATGACATTTTTCTGTCTAGGGGAATAGGAATGCAAAATCTTAAAAACAAGTCACAAAATTAGGTTGCCTTAAGTTACGGAACCTAATTTCTTTACTAATTGTATATTACAATTGTCAATTGTATTTAGTGTTTTACAGTTTTAAGATCATGATATAAGTCATTTAGCCGCATTAGTTAATAGTTACTACCACGTTAAATTAAAAAAATTAAAACGTTACTTTAATGTTATTTCAATAGACAGTCTTAGTAAATTAAAAGAACTACGTGACTAATTTCTTTACTAATTGTCACAATTACTCTATGTATAAGCTTATCCTTATCAGTGACAGATCCAGAAAAAAAAGTCAGGGGTTGCACTAAGTTTTTACGGGTTGCATTACGAGAAAAACTCATTTCTGAAGACAATTTCTGTAACGTCCCAAAAATTCATAGTAAAATTTTTATTTTAAAAACAATAAATCATACAAACGAGGTCTTCCAAACAGTGAATATATTATTTGAACATCAGAGTAATTTCATTAATTGCCATACGGAAGACTCTCAGGGATGCTGTGCAGTCACGTTGGGCCTTTTCTTTTCGAACTGGAAGTACCTGAAACCATAAAAATAAACCGTAAGCACAAAGCTTAGTGAGTTTCCCAAAATACCACATACCATACATACAATGAGCATTTCCCGACAACCATCGGGCCCCGCCCATAACAGATCTGTCAGTAACATGTGATGGGCCCCACCTAACACACTCATCAGGCCCTGCCCGGTATACATACAAACACATACAATACATGGAAGAGTCACAAAGACATCTAGCATACTATAACATAATCCAATGGGCCGACATTGGTGCCTTCGACCCACAAGTATTGTGAGAAGACGCACCTGAATCACAAAGCCGACTAACACACAGCTCAAAATCGTGCTGATCATAGCTAACTGCTCTCCTGCCAAAAGATAGGTGCAAAACACCTCTTAACAATCCACATAAGGCAAACCCTAAGTCTTCCTTCTAAAAATATAGATTGACCAAAAAGTCAACCCATACCAAAAGTCAACGGTCAAAGTTAGCAGCCAGAGTTGACTTTAGCTGACCGCCACATCGTGGCCTTCCTTGGCTACGTCGTGGCCCACATACGACCAAACAGTCAGGAAAATCCCAGCCGCCACGCTGGGGTGACCTAGGACCGCACCGTGGTAGCCGAGGTTCCAACAAGTCAACAACTTAATATATTAAGCTGTTTTCTTCAATTCTATGAGCTCCAAAGCTCAGATCTGGTCCAAAATGTAATCTACCAGGATAAAGTTTCTAACTTTATCCATTAGGACCACCCAAAAGGTCCAAAACCCAAATCTCTAAGTCCTAAAAGGCTTAATAATGCAAGAACTTAGCCAATAAGCACTTATTCCATAGATTATGAAGTCCATCCTTTCCACAAGTGATTCTAGCATAAAAAATAACCTAAAAGTTGGTGCTTTATAGACATGCATGTCCAATGCATGTTTTGAACCCATATTAGGTCAAAATAAGGGTTTATGACCTAAATCTCATGCATGGATTGAAAACCCAACCAAACTCCAGATCCAAGGCAAAATTACACCAAATGCCCTAGAGATTCATAAAGTTGCAAACTTTAAGAGATCTCACCATCCCAACTAACAAGAACAAGAAGTTTATGGGATAAAACTCTAGATCTATCAACCTAGCATGATAAAAATCGAGTCTTGGACACTTACAAAGGTCCAAAAGAGTGCTAAGGTGAAGAATAGAGACTTGCTTGCTTGATCTTTGCTTCCTTCTTCCTCCTTCTTCCTTCTTTAGCTTCAAGGAATACCAAAACTAGCTCAATAATGGAGGAAAGTGGTTAGGGTTTTCTTTAGGGCTTGAGGGGGCTGATGGAGGCTGAGGATGAGCAAACCCTAGCCTCCCCATTCCTTTAAATAGGGAGCAAACCCGTAAAAATAGGGTTTTTACGTCAGCCGTCCACCACGTCGTGACCAATACTTCCATGGCGTGGTGGCTTAAATGAAACATGCGAACCCTTCTCGCATCGCCACGTCGTGGTGGTACCTCCACCACGTCGTGGCAATCCTCAAAATGATAATTTAAATACGAATATAGTGTTGGGTTTTGATACGAAATAAAAGTTTGTTTTTCACAAAAACCGGCAACGGAAGACTTTAAAAATAACGACTTTATTTTTAGTTCATAACAAAACCGAACTATCATGGATCCGTTTATAGAGGTTAGAATGAAATAAAACCAACCATAGGATGTTTTAGAGATAATCTTTGAAGCCTTTGAACCCACTTGGTTTTGGGGTGTTGATGAAGATAACAAAAGATCAAAGTGTATGATCTTCTCTACAAGTATCCACCATTAAGAGTAAGGCACTTGGAATACTAGTTCCTTCTTGTATTATTGAGTGTCTAAAGCCTTTAAGTGCTTAACTCAATTAAGCACTAAAGGGAACAACTCAAGAGGTCTTCTAATCACCAAAGCAAAGCACTAAAACTTCAAAAGAAAAGAGCTTCTTCATGCTCACATATTTAGAGAGAAAGAAGGGAAGAAAGAAGAGCTTCACTCTTACAAAAAATGCAAGCCTCATGTATCTCTTATATAGCCCATGAAGAGTAAGGCCTAACCATTAAAATAATCTAAAGTAATGGTAGCCTTTAGAAGCATGGGAGACAAAAGGTGGAAGGTTGAAAAAGCAACCTCCTACACCATCATTATGCATTTTAAAAAGTAAGATTCTTTATTTTTTATAAACTCAAAGTTTATAAAATATAAACTTTGTCTTTAGGTAAAAGACAAAAGAATCCAACTAGTCCAAAATGTTGTGCATGACTTATTAATTTATACCATATGAAATAATAACTAGTAATACTCTCTTATAATTATTATTTTCACAAAACGATAATTATTCCCTAATTAAAATACAAGAACCGATATTATATATTAATAATCATATTAATAATAAATATACGAAATGTGCCAACTTGATAAAGGTGTGACCCTATAGGATCATATATTATTAGCAATATCACCCCATAATGATTCTTGGGCATATAGATCCAACAATCTTCCACTTGCACAAGATTCATTATAGACTGACATAGACAGTAGCTGATAGGGATGAGATTTAGAACCGGAAAACCGGACCGGAACCGGAATCGGACTGGAACCGGAACCGTTACAACCGAAATATATATAACCGGTTCTGGTTTCGGGTTTAAAAATTGGCTTTATCCGGGTCCTGGGTAATCCAGGTTTGGGTCCATCGGGTCTGGGTAAACCGGGTCTAAAAACCGGAACCGGTGTTTGGAACCGGAACCACTTTTAGGACCGGAACCGGTTTTTTGTGAAACGTTTAAAAGATGCATATCTCATTCGTTTCAACTCCGATTGACATGTGGTTTTTTCCAACATGTAGTTTAGAGTTTGTACATGACTTTAGACTATAAATTTGCTATTTTTAGCTTTATATTCATTGTCTTACAGTCCCCCAAAGTCGAGATATCAAAGCTGGAAGTTTTTAGTTTTTCAACTTTTTTGTATTCGGTGAAAGTTTTAAAACATGCATATCTAATTCGTTTGAAGTCGGATTGACATGTGGTTTTCTCCAACTTGTAGTTTACAGTTTGTACATGAGTTTACGCTATAATTTTGTCATTTTTGGTTTAACATTCAATGATTTATAGTCCTCCGAAGTCGGGATATCAAAACTGAAAATTTTCAATTTTTCAGCTATTTGTTTTTGTACTTTGTATTATGTGAAAATGTTAACACATCCATATCTCATTCGTTTAAAGTCGGATTGACATACGGTTTTTTTCTAGAGTGTATTTTAGAGTTTGTACATGATTTTAGACTATAATTTTGTTAATTTTGGTTTCATATTCAATGAGTTACAGTCCCCCAAAGTTGGGATATCAATATGAAAATTTTCAAAGTTCAACCCACTAAGTAGTAAGTAATTACCAAAAAATTCCGGTTTTTTTCGGGTTTTCCGGTTTTAAACCCACTTTATCTGGTTCCAACCTACCCACTTTGATGTTTCCGGGTTTTTCGATTCTAGACCCACTTTACCCGGAACTGTACCCGGAACCGAACCGGAACCGGTTCCTATATACCGGTCCGGTTTCCGGTTCTACAAAATCCCGTTAACCGGTTCCGGGTTTTCCGGGTCCGGGTCCATCCGGTCCGGGTTTGGATCCACTTTCATCCCTAGTAGCTGACGTCTAGCAACGGGCTACTGCCCCTAACAACATATGAAGGGTGCCATCTCATCAACAGCCAATTCCAGGAGCTCTAAGCTGCAATTGTTACTAAATGTGTGGTATCTATTATTCCTTTGTCTTAGACATCATGTCGAACATGAGATATGGATCGCGATCAATCTCATTTACATTTCAACTTTAACTAAGACCTTAGATGTCATACTCTCAACGAATAATAGGGACAAATCCCATCTTGACTACATACGTCTATCAATGCAGTTCATGTCATACCCAACGATGGCCTTTATGACTGCCTTTTACGAAACAACGTTGAACCATGTCTAAGCACAACAATCCCTACACTTCAAGTCCCAAATATGCATCTCAGGTCTAAGAATACAAAGATCATCTTGACTACATACGTCTATCAATGCAGTTCATGTCATACCCAACGATGACCTTTATGACTGCCCCTTTACGAAACAACGTTGAACCATGTCTAAGCACAACAATATCTACACCTCAAGTCCTAAATATGTATCTCATGTCTAAGATTAAAAGATACAACCTTGATCAAAACATCACTCTTGACCACGATCCATAAAGTGGTTTTGATGCGGGTCAAGTCCAATACTTATTCTCCCAATCAAGTACCTATGAAGTTGGTAGCAACTCTTTGCCATTCTC